TCACCTCATGTTTCAGCATGATAATGCACACCTCAATGTCGCAAGGATCTGTACACAATTCCTGGAAGCTGAAAATGTCCCAGTCCTTCCATGGCCTGCATACCCAACAGACATGTCACCCGTTGAGCATGTTTGGGATGCTCTGGATCGACGTGTACCACAGCGTGTTCCAGTTCCCGCCAATATCGAGCAACTCCGTACAGCCATTGAAGAAGATAAGGACAACATTCCACAGGCCACAATCAACGTCCTGGTCAACTCTATGCGAAGGAGATGTGTCTCGCTGCATGAGGCAAATGGTGGTCACACCAGATACTGACTTTTCTGATCCACACCCCTACTTTTCTTTAAAGTATCTGTGACCAACAGATGCATATCTGTATTCCCAGTCATGTGAAATCCATAGATTAGGACCTAATATACAGTGAGGGAAAAAGTATTTGATACCCTGCTGATTTTGTACGTTTGCTCACTGACAAAGACATGATCCGTCTATAATTTTATTTGGTAGGTTTATTTGAACAGTGAGAGACAGAATAACAACAACAAAATCTAGAAAAACGCATGTCAAAAATGTTATAAATTGATTTGCATTTTAATGAAGGAAATAAGTATTTGACCCCTCTGCAAAACATGACTTAGTACTTGGAGGCAAAACCCTTGTTGGCAATCACAGAGGTCAGACGTTTCTTGTAGTTGGCCACCAGGTTTGCACACATCTCAGGAGGGATTTTGTTCCACTCCTCTTTGCAGATCTTCTCCAAGTCATTAATGTTTTGAGGCTGACGTTTGGCAACTTGAACATTCAGCTCCCTCCACAGATTTTCTATGGGATTAAGGTCTGGAGACTGGCTAGGCCACTCCAGGACCTTAATGTGCTTATTTTTGAGCCACTCCTTTGTTGACTTGGCCGTGTGTTTTGGGTCATTGTCATGCTGGAATACCCATCCACGACCCATTTTCAATGCCCTGGCTGACGGAAGGAGGTTCTCACCCAAGACTTGACGGTACATGGCCCTTCCATTGTCCCTTTGATGCGGTGAAGTTGTCCTGTCCCCTTAGCAGAAAAACACCCCCAAAGCATAATGTTTCCACCTCCATGTTTGACGGTGGGGATGGTGTTCTTGGGGTCATAGGCAGCATTCCTCCTCCTCCAAACACGGCAAGTTGAGTTGATGCCAAAGAGCTCGATTTTGGTCTCATCTGACCACAACACTTTCACCCAGTTCTCCTCTGAATCATTCAGATGTTCATTGGCAAACATCAGACGGCCCTGTATATGTGCATTCTTGAGCAGGGGGACCTTGCGGGCGCTGCAGGATTTCAGTCCTTCACGGCGTAGTGTGTTACCAATTGTTTTCTTGGTGACTATGGTCCCAGCTGCCTTAAGATCATTGACAAGATCCTCCCGTGTAGTTCTGGGCTGATTCCTCACCGTTCTCATGATCATTGCAACTCCACGAGGTGAGATCTTGCATGGAGCCCCAGGCCGAGGGAGATTGACAGTTCTTTTGTGTTTCTTCCATTTGCGAATAATCGCACCAACTGTTGTCACCTTCTCACCAAGCTGCTTGGCGATGGTCTTGTAGCCCATTCCAGCCTTGTGTAGGTCTACAATCCTGTCCCTGACATCCTTGGAGAGCTCTTTGGTCTTGGCCATGGTGGAGAGTTTGGAATCTGATTGATTGCTTCTGTGGACAGGTGTCTTTTATACAGGTAACAAACTGAGATTAGGAGCACTCCCTTTAAGAGTGTGCTCCTAATCTCAGCTCGTTACCTGTATAAAAGACACCTGGGACCAGAAATCTTTCTGATTGAGAGGGGATCAAATACTTATTTCCCTCAATAAAATGCAAATCAATTTATAACATTTTTGACATGCGTTTTTCTGGATTTTTTTCTTGTTATTCTGTCTCTCACTGTTCAAATAAACCTACCATTTAAAATTATAGACTGATCATTTCATTGTCAGTGGGCAAACGTACAACATCAGCAGGGGATCAAATACTTTTTTCCCTCACTGTATACACTGAACTTTAAGTCAGTAAAATCGTTGAAATTGTTGCATGTTGCGTTTATATTTTTGTTCAGTGTATATATACACTGATTAATAATATGTCATTTAGCAGACGCTTTTATCCAAAGCGACTTACAGTCATGCGTGCATACATTTATTTATTTTTTTGCGTATGGGTGGTCCCGGGGATCGAACCCACTACCTTGGCGTTATAAGCGCCGTGCTCTACCAGCTGAGCTACAGAGGACTAATTAATTAATCAGCCAATGTTAGATCCGGCTTATTAATAAATTAAATAATCAATAAAGGTGTCTAAATTTGGACTAGCTAGCTACATACAAATTGCAAACCATTCACAGTCTATGGTGTTTGACAGATCAGCCGAATGACTGTAAAAGGATGGACAAAGCCATCGATCACGTGACACCATTCATTTCTATGTGAAGACTCAATAGCGCATTTAAGCCAAATGAAGTCAGTTAAGACAGTGTCTCATGGAGACATAACATGGGCACATAGAGAATGATAGAGGCCTCTAGTGGCTAAAAGGCCGTGTTAGCATGGGCAACGCCATTGAGGGCTTTCATCATTTTAAAGTAGTCAACTGGGTGGAACTTCCAATTTCATTGACTGATCCTTCCTGGTGACCCTGTTGGTGTCCAACTGGGTCAACATGAGGGATCAGCCAATCGTGAAGAAAATGGACTACTTCAAAATGGAGATAGCATGGGCAGCGCCATTGAGGCTGTCACATATGCTATAATGGCACAGATACAAAGATGAGTCCTCTATCTCTATTAGGCTTGGGCGGTATACCGTATATACCAGGGCTCTCCAACCCTGTTCTTGGAGAGCTATATTCCTGTAAGTCTTCGCTCGAACCCCAGTTGTAACTAACCTCATTCATTTGATCAACCAGCTAATTATCAGAATCAGCCTAGTTTAATGCCAAAAATCTGGATAATCTTGATCCCACTTGAAGGGTGTATTCAGGGTGGATTTAGAAAGGTACTACAATGGAGGTATTTCAATGTAACTAAGGTATGTGGTCAGTTGTTTATTGAGAAGTGTCAAATAAATGCATGAACTTACAGTGCATTCGGAAAGTGTTCAGACCCCTTGACCTTTTCCACATTTTGTTATGTTACAGCCTTATTCTAAAATGGATTAAATTGTTTTTTCCCCTTATCAATCTACACACAATACCCCATAATGACAAAGCAAAAACAGATTTTTAGAAATTTTAGCAAATGTATTAAAAATAAAAAACTGAAATATCACATTTACATAAGAATTCAGACCCTTTACACAGTACTTTGTTGAAGCACTTTTGGGAGAGATTACAGCCTTGAATCTTGTTGGTTATTACGCCACAAGCTTGGCACACCTGTATTTGGGGATTTTCACCAATTCTTCTCTGCAGATCCTCTCAAGCTCTGTCAGGTTGGATGGAGAGCGTCGCTGCACAGCTATTTTCAGGTCTCTCCAGAGATGTTCGATCGGGTTCAAGTCCGGGCTCTGGCTGGGCAACTCAAGGACATTCAGAGACTTGTCCCAAAGTCACTCCTGCGTTGTCTTGGCTGTGTGGTTAGGGTCGTTGTCCTGTTGGAAGGTGAACCTTTGCCCCAGTCTGAGGTCCTGAGCGCTCTGGAGCAGGTTTTCATCGAGGATCTCTCTGTACTTTGATCTCCCAGTCCCTGCCACTGAAAACATCCCCATAGCATGATGCTGCCACCACCATGCTTCACCGTAGAGATGGTGCCAGGTTTCTTCCAGACGTGTGGCTTGACATTGAGGCCAAATAATTCAATTTAGGTTTTATCAGACCAGAGATTCTTGTTTCTCATGGTCTGAGAGTCCTTTAGGTGCTTTTTGGCAAACTCCAAGCGGGCTGTCATGTGCCTTTTACTAAGGAGTGGCTTCCGTCTGCCACTCTACCATAAAGGCCTGGTTGGTGGAGTGCTGCAGAGATGGTTGTCCTTCTTCTGTCAGAGTGACCATCGGGTTCTTGGTCACATCCCTGACCAAGGCCCTTCTCCCCCGATTGCTCAGTTTGGCCGGGCGGCCAGCTCTAGGAAGAGTATATAGACAGGTGTGTGCCTTTCCAAATCATGTCCAATAAATTGAATTTACCACAGGTAGACTCCAATCAAGTTGTAGAAACATCTCAAGGATGATCAATGGAAACTTGACTGCACCTGAGCACAATTTCGAGTCTCATAGCAAGGGTTCTGAATACTTCTGTAAATAAGGTATTTATACATTTGCAGAAAATTCTAAAAACCTGTTTTCGCTTTGTCATTATGGGGTATTGTGTGTAGATTGATGAGGAAAAATGATAATTTAATCAATTTTAGAATAAGGCTGTAACGTAACACAATGTGGAAAAAGGGAAGGGGTCTGAATACTTTCCGAATGTACTGTAATTGACAGATATAATAACCAGGTCAATATTAGATACAGGGAAATGTCCCTACCACAAGATGTGAAGTTAGGAAAGGGAGCAGGCCAAGGGACTAAGGAGGGATACAATACCTACCTTCAAAATAGTTTATTCTCATATTGAGAACATTTTCTATTCTTCTAGCCTGTGGCCTACAGTGAGGTATGGCAACTACTCAAACTACAGGGAAGATTCTAACTGAACGACTGTCAAAGCGCTATGTCTCTAGGGGAGTTTACCTACTTTACGTTACATGTACACTAAGGTAGAACCTTGTTAGGGTCTCACTAACCTTCACACCTCGAGTGACGATGACAGTCTCACCCTCTCCATGCCTGCGTGTGTATGGGGGCAGTGAGGGAGGGACAAATGGCATTGTGGGAAATGTAGTCAGTGTTATGTTTATATCCTATTGTAGTACATATGAAATGCATAGAAGGGATACAGAGAGATGTACAAGTGACTGTGTGTGTGTGTGACTCATGTAGCATGTTCTGAGGGGCGGTCTCAGTGCTGTATGCTGACGGTATGCTGTTCTTCTTAAACGTGTTCTTCAGGAGCTGAGCTCTCTCTGACAAGCTGCAAAGACACACACAGAAGAGTATGTCAGACAAAAAAGCATGAACCACTACTCCAGGGTCCTGAGCCTTAGCCTCCAGCTCCTGCACCTCATCAATCAGGGTCTTCCAGAATGACATCTTGACCCTGAGAGAGAGAGAGAGAGAGAGAGAGAGAGAGAGAGAGAGAGAGAGAGAGAGAGAGAGAAAAAAAATCATTAGAAAGGGCTTGTCTATAAGAGCTAAGCAACTAAACTAAATGTGCTGAAAGCGATGAACTTTTGAGGAATGTGATCGGGGGTGTTTAAAGTGTAGCGGTTGACCAAATCTAGTGTTTCCCCTGAAGCTCCTACTTCACATATTTAGGTTTGGACTCACACTCTGAACGCCACATCAAACAGCAGCGAGTTGACAGGGATGAAGAGGAGACACATCAAGAACACTCCTGAGGTGTACATAATCTCTGCCTGCAATGCACGTACACACACACACACACACAGATGCGCGTACATGCACATGCGTTGACGTGGCAAAATTACAACTTTTGTCATGCGCATGCGCTGTATGAGCCTTAAATCTGTACATTTCCAACTGTCTGTTTGAATGACTTGTAAGAGGAAGTTGTTGTTTTTCCAGTCTGCTTCTGTTCAACTTAGTCACACGGTCAAAACAAAAAGCCTCAGAGTGACCACGTTTTTTTCAGTTCATCCTGTCTTTTACTATCTTCCAAGGGCACAGCTGTGGGGAAATAGAAGAGAACAGAGGCTAGTTTGGTAGAGAAATTAGTAAAAGGAATTGCCGTTATCACTTGTTTGTGCGCTATAACCTCACACACCCAATACACCTGGCCACAAGAAGAAAACAAAATAGCTTATGATGCCCTGATCTGCCAGGGAGGGGTGGAACCAACCATGACTAAGCAGTTTTGGGTTTCTACATAAACCCCTTGCGTTTCTGTACTATTCGAGCACTCAATCAATTGACCCTGTATGTGTGTGTTGTATTGACCTGCTCCCTTGTTAACAAGATTTTAATAAAGTATTGATTGTTTGAAGAATTAGTGGTTAAGAGCGTTGTGCCAGTAACCGAAAGGTCGCTGGTTCTAATCCCCGAGCCAACTAGGTGAAAAATCTGTCGATGTGCCCTTGAGCAAGGCACTTAACCCTAATTGCTCCTGTAAGTCGCTCTGGATAAGAGCGTCTGCTAAATGACGTAAATGTAAATGTAAATGTAAATGAATTAACAAAGTCTCTCCTTATTGGTTAGAATTTCCACAACATTCTTGGCAACGAGGAAGGGGATCCCAACCTTCACCCGCTGACTGCTCCTGAGGATATGGGTAAACTGTGCACAGGAGTCACCTAAATTAGGAGACTCAGGGAAACCGCACTTCACTGAAAGAGGAGCAGCCAGGGACCAGCCTAAGATCTGAGAGGAGAGCATCAGTGGGTGAATACTGGATCTCGAACATAGATCAGTAAACGGTGAGACTGATATTTATTGGAAAAAAATAATAAAGAAATCACAGGGTCCTAAGGGGGCTGCTGTGAATCTATGTGGACCTGCGGGATGCCATCATAGAGAATTGTTTAGGGTTCTAAGGGGACTGCCACTCAATTAAGAAAGACAAACTCTTACGGAGACTGTCGTTAAGAACGTATTAGAAGGACAAAGTCTTACGGAGACTTTGAAGTCCTAAGGGGAGCTGTCATAGATAATTAAGACAATTATTTGAAGTCCTATGGGGATCTGTCATTTAATGTATTGATATGTCATGGGTATCCATCGCAAGATGTAAATGTACATGTTTTGTTATTCCAGGAACTAACCCTGAAATAGAAGTTAGAAAATATTCCTGCAGGTTAGAAAAAATATTGTAAAAGAAAATGTATTTATCAGTGGACTGGTAAAAAAGTTGGTTATGATTGGGAAACCATCTATAAAATTAAACCCTACAAGGAAATGTGCATAGGAGGAACTACCATGTGGGTACAAAATGTAAAATTACATAGAGTGTTAAAAATATATATATATTTTGATGGAGAAGAAATTACTCCTTTTGAATTATAAGAAAGGAAGACGTTCCTAACCAAATACTGTTTGTTTTGTGTGCTTGTTTTTGTTCCCTGAGTGTGTATATTGAAGAGAGAACCGTGAAATATTAGGTGGAAGTAGGAGGGAAAATAAGTAAATAAATGTGATAATTATGTGATAATTAAGTGTAAAATGAGATAGGCTGGTGACTGAATGAAGTGTTCCCATAGAAGAAAGTAGATAGGTTTTAAGTAAGACCTTAAAATAGGTTTGAACAACATTGTTAAAATACAAATAATTTAATAAATGTAATGATTGTAAAGGAACTTGAGTAAGAATGGGAGAACTTGGTAGTAAGATAGACGAGAAAAGACGCCGACCTTTACAGTTGAAGAAAAATACTAAAATAATGTCTGCAAGAAAAGGGGAAGGATAACTGAACTCTTAGAACACGAAGCCTACATGACGAATTTAAAAAAATGACATCGATGGCACGCTGTAATTAGTTTAAGGAGATTCTAAAATATGAAGGACTGACATAAATTGCGCCTAAAATAAATCTAAACTACTCTGGGAGTGGAACAAGAAAATAATATGGACGGTATGGATTTGCCTAAGATAAAATTGTTTGGGCTATACTGTTGCATGATGAGCGAGGAAGAGGGCTGGTCAGCCTAATAACGTTACATGGAAAATAAGAAATTGCACCGTGTCGCCGGCAGTAGAGGTTGCTGAGAGAAAGATAGACTTTGAATTATTAACGAGATAAGGACACGAGGCTGAAAGCTGAAGACGGATATCTCATTAACAGGGCTTGCGTGTGGACTTCCATTTACAATTACAAGATGACAGACTGAATTTGCTGGATTAAGTGAAGTTTAGGAAACGCATAAAGAATGTGGGCGTTGTGACCATCCTTTCCCAAGTTCCTGACTGAAAAATAAATGCCGAAGGTTTGTAGAAAATTACCATTAACAGCTTGGTGCAGTAATGACTGCGATGGGGAAATTATTTTTGGGTTAAATTAGTGGGTTATAGTTGTTTAAGGTTGCTTTAGAAGTGATTTCTTTTGATGATTGTTTTTGCAAGAGAAATGTACTGCTTGAAAAGCATTTACTGCTGTTAGCGGGTTATAGTTGTTTAAGGTTGCTTTAAATGTGAATTATTTTGATGATTGTTTTTTTAAGGATAATGAACTGCTTGATAATGTACTGCTAGTTGTTTTATTTAAGATTGATGGAAAGTTATACTTTTTTTGAATTATCTTGAAATTATACGCTTGAAGACAATGAGAAAATTAGCGTTGCAGTATATTAAATTTGTTTAAGGGGTATTCATTTGGTATTGGAATGAATAAGAGTACTGTTGTAACTCAGTAAACTCTTTTAGACATTCCTACATTTTATAAGATCTACAATTGCTGTAGACTGTAGTTTTACAAAATTATAACTAAGCTACTGACTGATGGAGTTATGACTTATTTCCAACAATACAATTTTCTGTCCGCCTGCTAGTTGTAGCAGTGTTGTAACCGCTAACCTTTGCTTTCACAGCTCTACCGGTGAAGACTTTAGAATTCTACGTTTTAAAAGTAAATGCTTTTAGCCTTGTGTAGAGAAGGCCTGTGTATAACATTTGAAAAGGTGTTCTCGATGTAACCGATTCCTGGTTTTCAAGTGAGTTGATACGTGTAGTAAGAATACCTGTACTTTCGGGAACTGAATTTAAGTAGTGAGAATTGTGTTGACTGATCTTTGGAATTTAATTTAAGTGAACCAAATTTAATTTAAAATAGACCTGGAATTAGTTAACTGATTGATCTAAGAGTTGACTGCTGTTAAGAAAATTAGATACCGTTAGAGAACTAAACAATTTAAGAGGGGTACCCCATTAATTAATGTGTGGACGCACACAATAACAGAATGATTGTGAATGAATGATTGCATAATGATGAACTGTTTGAACTGTTTAACACATGTTGACACTTACAGGAATGGCTGAAATCTCTCAACCATTTTCTGATCTCACCCATGGCCACAAGATGGCGATGGAGGACAAGATAAAGTGGACTCCTGAGGGTTTGCATGCACTTGACAAGATGTGACACAGTTACTAACCTTTTGTCCTTGTTTAGGTGTGCCAGATTATTCTAAACCATTTCATTTATTGGTGTTTAAATAAAATAAAAATAAAATGGTTTTATGTCATCTGTCCTTCTACAGGATCAAAGTGGGAAGCAGCGGCCCGTTGCATACTACTCTAAGAAACTTGACAGTGTGGTGAGAGGGTTGGTGTGTTGCCTTACAGCTGTGCTGTTGCAGCCAGAAGATTGGGTGGTCATCAAGGACCTCCGCAGAAAGACTTGGCACCAACAGCACTGGACTGGTCAATTCCAGGTGCTCCTGACAGTTGCAGAGAGGTCGACGTGGTTTCATGCCAGCCACTGCAGGAAGATGCCCCACAACCCAGACGAAGATGTACCAAGCCAATGAATCCTCATAGGCGACCCCAGTGGCCATGGGAGGACCAGGATCGGACTCTACGCATCATCTTTGTTGTTTTCGTGGTCAGTCTTCTCATTGCAGCTGTTGTATGGGCCCTGGGAGAAGTGGCCACAATGCAGCTGAAGAATACCAGTATAGTCCCATGGCGGGGCTTAAATAACAGCCGCTGCAGCTCGAGCCAACGGCAGGCTCAGGACAGGAATCCAGCAAACAAAAGCCGCCCAATTGTTTAAGAGGACTGAGATCGATGCATCAACGTGATGAGTGTCCTCTTTGTACAGATGAAATGTACTTCTGTCTAACTTTTTAATTGTCTAAATGATCCCCTTAAGAATGTTTTGCACCATGTGAAGGTGAAGTTAATTGGACAGTTAATTAGAAAGTAAGAATTCACATTTTAAATGGTTGGGACTAATTAAGATTTAGCTAAAGTGAAAACTAACAAAATGTTTTATGTTATGAATATTTATTACTGGTGTTAATAGCGTGTTTGATTTATTGTGTGTTTTTTTTTTTTGGGGGGGGTTTAGTGTTTTTTTCACAGGTTAGAAATGATACACCTTAAACGGCACACAAATGACATTTTCTGAAGTTTCTATTGCCAGAGTTTTGGTTTCACACAATTATCCGGATAACACATTTACTGAAAAACCCAGTGTAAACCTGGTACACAAAATGTTTAAAATGTCTTTAAATAACGTCTGAGGACAGTGATGTTTGACCTGTTGCATACTTAGAAATGCGCCTGTTGTAGACAGAGGTTTGTTCATAATGTCGGATCAGTGGGAGTGGAATATTGGCTGAACGCCCAGACTCTGTGATTGCCAGGTGTTGTCTCCTGAGCAGCATCCTGTTTCCATTTATCATTTTTAGATGTTTCTACAACTTGATTGGAGTCCACCTGTGGTAAATTCAATTGA